CAATGAAACTATTAAATAGATGCCAGATTTCTCTTGGATTGGTTATAGCTCATGCTGTGTGTTCTTGAGATGCTGACAGGTCTGATCAAAAAAGTAGAGGCACCCCAAATATCAAGGCCAGGGTTTTGCTATTGCAATTGCTGCCTTTGAAGAATTAAAATACCGAACTGGAATTACTTAGAACAAATGCTGATCCCAGAGTTATGCTGTACTCACTGGACTACAGGAATCACGTTTGGGCATACAGGCAAGATGTCACCCATATTTGATATCAATTCTCTGCATAGGATTGGGTTTTTTTCATATTTTACAAGGTAGAACTCCTTGGGAAGGAGAAAGAGATAACTGTTATAACACAGGCATACAGTATACAGAAAGAAACAGAAAGAAAGCCTGGGGTATGATTACCTTTACAAGAGACAGCTGCAGGATAATCTACTTAAGGACTAGCAGTGTGAAGCTCCCTTCCTTGTGATGCAGCAGATGGGGATAGCAAAGACTTTGAGGAAGACTCAGCAACCTGGTAGGTCTCAAACAGCCCTGGGGATGGTCTTTCACAATTGTTCTAACCATCTTCCTCAGTCTTATGCTGGGGTAAGTACAAACAAATTTCTGCTGGACAGAAGAGATAAAAGCAGGACGAAAGAGAGAAACTAAGTGGTGCCTGCCTTTCTCCCCTTGTACAAACAGGTCATGAGAGAGACCCATTTCAGAAGGAAAGGAAAAGAGATAGTGATAGGAAATGGTAGCAAAGAGGTAGGAAATAGCATTCTGTTAGCAGGAGCAGTGCTCTGTGAGCTCTGGCTGAGCAGGGAGGCAAAGCAGCAAAGAGTCCTCAACTAGCTAAATTCAAATCAGGCAACTGCCAGCTTCAAAGGTAGCTGTAATCCTGGACCTGTCTGTATCGCTTTACCCAAAATCTTCCCCCGGGCATCGACAACTCAGCTCTCCATGTACCCAAACTGAACTGGATTGATAGCTGGACTTCTAGAGCTCAAACCACTAGAACAAGACTTAGACATCTGACTTGATGTTAATAACAAAAAGATGTGAAATTGAGCACAAACCAAGCAGATAAAGTCAGGCTGAGCACAAGGACTCTTGCTACATGCTGTGACAAAAAATCTGCTCATCTGGGTGAGCCTCTGTCGTGTTCCTTCATCTGAGAGCATGCTATGCTATTGAAAGCTTGCTCCATCCAGAGCAGACTTTTTTTTTGCTCCCTTTTCTCCCTCCTATACTCTGCCTCTCTGCTTAATAGCTCATCTCACAACCCATGCACTTCCTGGCCTTTAAGCCCAGTTTAGATCTGATTTCCAGTCTATGAGTGTTTTCACACTGATGGGCATCTGCTCCAGGCTTCTTTGCCTTTCCCAGGCTCCCAACCCAGCAACACTGGGGCAATTCTTCACCACACTGTTCACACCTTCTACGAGTAACCGCAAACTCCTCTTGAAGACCAGGAGGACAAATGTGTCCTCCTTCCCCTACCTGTTATCTTCCCTGACATAACCAACTCAACGTGGTGCTTCTCAAACTGGAAATCTGGCCTCTTTGTGGTCTGAGATTATCCCTAAAATGGCTGGAGAAGAGGAAGGTTATACAGACTCCTTCCTCCTTTTGGCTTGCATAAGCTGTAAAGACAACCTTCTCCTTTTCTCCCTCCTGATTTTTAAAATAGAGCTATCAGTTTTCCATACAGTCATCCTGCGTAACTTAATGAGCCATTTTCTTCAAATACTTCACATTAACATGTTTATATATTTGTTTGCCTGTCTGGGTTCTTTAATAAGTGTGTCTCCGGTTCAGGTGCTCCCAGCAGACCACTGCTCTGCCAGTCTGCAGGAAGCCCTCCATTCATTGCAGCTGCATCCCCAAATTATGCTCTGCAACTGATTGCTTCTGGGGCAATTGCTCAACTGTAATAACCAGGAACTTAGATAAATTGGACATTTTTCTGCAGAACCCATTAACAATATGTCTCAGAGATGCTCGAATCAGTCTCATTCTTAGCAATTTTGTTTCTGTGGTATCAGATGAAGATCCCAGCAGGAGGACTGTTGAAGAGGCTAGACTAAGATATCCTGCTAACCTAGGATACAGCTAGGAAGGCTGATGTTAGAGATGCACGGAGCACTGGTAGGTTTAGTGGGTAGCCCTTAAAGAATTAAATAAAAAGATTTTATACAGTTTTTATTTTAAACAAGGCTCCTGTAAGCCAACCCATCCTTGACAGAAAAAGGATGTCTGATCTGGTTTACTGATTCTTTGATGAAGCCTGTTTCCAATGCCATGCTCATTTCTGTGACTGATGCTAGAAGATCTGCACATGCAGGGCTTTTCTTCTCTCTTCTGCCTCTGTGCTGGGTAAATTTGAGTTTCAACTGATGTGGCAGTCACAGATATGCAGGCAGTGAAAGTAAGCCTATCATCTACTGTGCGTATACTGTTGAAAGCTTCCTGTGAAATTGGACTAGCACTTAAATGTTGTGTGACAAAGCCTTATGTTCCAGGTTTTGTAAATATTCTCAAGTTAAAAACCAAAATCACATGTCAAATGCTTTCTGTATTGTTTGGGGAGAATTACAGTATTGCCAGATTAATTACAGAGTTTCTACAATACTCTCCTCTGATTTTACTATTCAAACACAGCAGAAATCAGAGACTGTTTTGACCTTTATTCAGAGCCTCCTGTTAGAGTGACTTTCACAACAGAACCCAATTTGTCACATTTTATTTGTACTTTAATTTTATTATTAACAGATTAATGAAGCTGGTAATAGGTTTCCTGATGCTCCCTTTGGAAATGTGAACTGTGTCCCTTCCTTACATCAATCTGCTGCCAACACATGAAGTGCCTTTGCAAAATGCTATTAACTGTTACCAGAAGCAATTAGTCAAAATAGCAAGTCAGCTTCAAAAGAAGACTCCAGATTCCCCCAGTGAGTTAGGAAAAGCACATTAGTAGGATTTAGTCTTGCCAGTAGACAGGAGCTTTAGGCTCTGCAGTAGGTGTCTGGGTTAATGACACATAGAAATGCAAATGTATCAGACTTTAATTTGCTTGAAAGAGCACTGCGAGGTTTAAAAAAAAAAAGAAATCACTTTCCGGTTTCATAAACAGCAATTCCCATTGTGCCAGAAATACCCACGCTCTGTTGTAAGATGCTCTTCATGCTCCAGATATAAGAAACCATGAGTGACATCCTGGTGTTCTTGCAGGCAGCAGGAGACTGCTCGTGACAATGCTGAGGCCAAGGCTATGTCTTAATTTTCTGCCCCAAACAATTATTTTAAAACTATTCTACCTCACTCTACAAAGCACCAAGTCCAACCCCTTCTCAGATACCTCCTTTTTTAAGCCAGTCCAGAAACACAATTCCTAAAGAGACATGCACAAACCCAACTCGAGCTCAAGTTCCCCCCTGTTTGGCACCATCATTATGCAGACAGCTCGTCTGGTCAGTACTTCAGCATGGGTCTGACAAAATTGCATTACTGTACACACACAGAACACACGATGTGCTCAATAAAGAATCTCTAATAGATGGAGTAGGAATTTGAACTCTTTTGAGGCACTAGCTAGCACCTGGTTTAAAAGCCAGCAGTCCTCAGCTCCCTCACCAATGTACTGGATGAGCTGAAAGGGGGAATCAAGCATCAGGTATAATATCCTACATGCCCAGCATATGCTCTGGCATGCCTACCTGATACCTACAGACTGCCTTCCAAATTGGACAGACCAACAAGTGCCCCCTCCTCTTTCTCTCAAATGTTGGAAAACAATGTTATCAGTTGTTATTGCCAGTGCATTGCTGATCACATGTGTATTGGGTCAAATTAAAGGGGTAAGGTCACGAAAACAACAGAAATAGCACAGATTATGAAAAGCAAAAAGTTTATCCATTTGTTGTCAGGATTGACAATGAGGTTTCTGTCTCTATACAGAAGGCAATTTTTTTTCCTGTTATTTGGTCCTTGTTTCTTCAAACCTCGTCCCATCTTCTTTTGATGGTTTCAGTAGCCCTGATGGCTGCCCCAGCTGTGGAACCTGCAGTGAGGAGCAAACTTTGGGCTTAGTTCAGATGCCTTTCACAACCATGCTGCATGATAATCCCACACCGAGTTTTTTTGGAGGCAGAGAACAACTCAGCATCAGACTTTGCTGACATTTTTCCTCAAACTAAACATAAACAGCTGAACCACACCCAGGGACTCGGACAAAATGTAGTCTCAATAAAACCCCACCTTTAATTCTGCCAAAGCCTCACTGATTAAGAATATGCAGATCTAATGATTTTGCTGAGTATTTGCAGAATGCCTTCCTGCTGGATATTCTTTCCTGAATTGCCTTCAAGTGAGTGTTTACAGTGCGTAAGTTTAAAAGTGTTTTTTCCCCTCTCCCAAGTGCAGAAGGCTAATAGAAGAGTTAGAAGTCTAGGACTAAAAGCCTGAAACAGCCCACTCTAAGATGTAAGAGCAGCACATTTTATCTTCCTTTTACATGAGCTTAGTGACAGAAAACGGACACTCCTCTGATCCTTCCTTCAGCTCTTTCAACTGATTGGAGGAACACCTTCTTGAAAAAATACAATATATTGTTCAAACACTCCCACAAAAATGATGCCTCTGACTATCCAAACACATTGTGAGTTGGCAGATCAAACATGGCTCTTATTCTTAAACATGGATTAAAAGGAATCCATTAAAAGGAGAGTTTAAAAATCTATTTAAAAAAAAAGTTCAGAATCTTAAAAGACTAAATATTTGTGCAACCTTTAAGATCAAAAGCTGCTGAAATAAATACTTTAACTGTTTTAGCAGGTAACCTGTGCTCAAAGATTGCAAGGAGAGAAGATAATATAGTTTAACCTCATGACCTTAGGTTTTGGCATTTCACTGGCAGAGAATCTTTTCAGTTGTTCATATACCTCCATGGAAAATTGAATAACACCATCAAGAACACAACAGACTACATGAACTTGAAAAAAAATAGATCATGTGTTTTCATGTTCCTTTAATTTGTGTGTTTGTAGGCAAGACTCAACATTTAAATTGATAGTACTAAGTCCTCTGCTGACGCAGTTCATGCAGCTCTTGCCGAAGCTTACAGATGTCATTTTCCATCAGATGACTAGCCTGAAGAGTTTCCAACTGCAAGAGAGAACTGAGTACAAAAGTGCAAATACATAGAAAGGGTAATTTGTAGAAGACTCTGGGTAAACTAAATTTCAAAATTCTCCTTTGTTCTTTTGTCTTTCTACTGTTCATTTTATAGTAAGTGTGTAGGATTGTGTTCACCACGCCTATTTCAGAGAGAAGATGGGATGCATTTCTTTGTGCGTGTCTTTTCTAATCTGTTTGAGATGTCTGATGTCTTCATATCTAATACTTTTTGGATCTTTGATCTGAGTTGGAGGATGTCTCAAGGAGGAACAATGATTCACAGGAAAACAGGATATCCACAGGGGAGCCAGTTACCCAGTCCAGCAGAATTAATCAGCATTAGGTGTGCGAGCTTTTGCTCTGAAACACTGTAAATAAGAAAGAGTCACAGATGATTACAGGTATGGGAATGAACTAAGAAAGAGAGAAACACAATTTAAACCTCTAGGTGTCAAAAATGGTTTCTGAACCACCCACTAGGTTTGTTGAATAAGTGGTGTCCATATGAAAACATTACTTCTGTTTTCAAAGAGGCACTGTTTCAACATTTGCTTCTGTTCTGGCACCTAAACTCTTTTTGTAAACCAGGGACACACCTAACACTGGCTGACAGGGCTGAAATACAGGACGCTGCCTTCCTGTGCCAAAACAACCTAACAGCCAGGTTACGCCATGGTGCTCTCCCCAGCTTGCTCTGTCTTGCAGCCTGGTTTATTTCTCTTTCTTGTACCCCAGCTTCATTTCTGCCACTGAGTGCCTACATCTGGCCTAGGCTAAAGCACCTTCCATGCTATGTAGTCCCTTGGGGATGAGGAGAGAGCTGGTGCAGCACTAGTGCACTTCAGCTTGGTGGCTGCATCCTTCTTTGCACCCCTCAGGCTGAGTGGCTGCAGTTTTGGTGATTGGGTGTATAAGAAGCAGACTTCACCATCTCCTTTTCCTGACACAGCTTCAGAATGAAGCTCTTGTGATTGCATTGTATAAAGGATATGATCTCTCTGCACACAGTGTGCCTGAGGCATGCAGAGCCTCACAGAAACAAACTACCTTCTTGCTAGCTGCTGTGGAGGAGAGCTCGGCAGTTTCCGAGTATTAGTAAGAACGGAGCTGTAGCAACTCTCACTTCAAACAGGAAATTTTGACATCATGTTAAAATTAATTGTTTTGTCAAAAGGTTTATTTTGATTTGATATACCTTGGTCATATGGGATGGCAAGGGGGAAGTCTCAAGATGGTGGCTTTCTACTTAGCCACTACAGGTCTGGGTAGGTCCTGTTGATGGTGCCTAACTTCTTCAAAACCTGCATCTGCATGAGGTCAGCACTGAGCAAAATCCCTACAGGTGTGCCGTGGCCCTGTACTCCTGGGATATGCATTGACGATGCTGGTGATGCTCCCTCTGTGCTGGTCCCTCACTGCACGTGCATGTCCAATGATCACTGCTGCCTCAGTCAGTCATCCCAGCAAAAGCCCCTCACAGAAGTGGGCCACTGCTGCTGAAATGGGGACAAGCCCTGTGCAAACAAATGGGCTGGGAACTCACTTCCATGGATGCATCTGGAGCAGCGAGCTGATGGGGTGAGGGATGCTGCATGAGAGATGCAACTGTAACTTATGTCGAATGTTTTGTTTCGCAGAAGGAAGAATCCAACTGTATTTAGGTACCAACATGAAAGAACTTTAGGCCTGAATGACCTGCAAATGGAACTTCTGAAGCCCAAAGGGATGCTGTAACCACATTAACTTAACAAAAAGAGGAAATGCTAGGGGTATTTGACTTTATAAACAGCCTTCAGCTGGCCTGCTTCCAGCACAAATGCCTCACACATGGTAATGGATTTCAAATACACTAAGGAGTATAGCCGCAAAACCAAACAGGCTTTAACATTTGACCTTATTGGGGAAAACAAGCCTACTATTATCAAAGAAAACTAAGCATGCCTAGATAATTGACTCATCTTAGGACAAGTTTTGTTTCCATGACTGAACAGTAGGAATGCAAAGCTTTGCCATTTTTCAACTAGCATGGTTTTCTTAAATCTCACATGGAATATCTGAAAATTACCAGCCATCTCCTAACATTTTGAGTAGTTTGGCCAGTATAGAGAGAAGTGGAGAGACAAACGTTGCACCAGCAATGCCTTTGCCATTAAGATAGTTTTGTTTTTTGATTCAGCATTTCTGGAACAAAACATGAACATCAATTAATTATATGCTGCTACATCATTGTTGCTGTTTGCTCATCCACCCACAGACATTCCACAGAAAATTACCAAATAGTTAATTTGAAATATTTTAAAGTAGCTTGTTTATATCCTAAGCCAGCAATAGAGTTAGCAGCCCAGTTTACAGACCTAAGGCACTGATCTCATCCTCAAAGATGTAAGCCACAAATGGTTTATATGTACTGTAAGTCTGGTATTTTAGGCACCATTAAAAGTGGCCCTCTGTAGGTGCTGAGACCCTTACAAGCAAAAGAAAATTCCTCAAGACATGGAAAGACAATTCTAGCCATGTTTTTTGAAGACATTCATAATTTAAGATCGCAGTCAGAGACTGACCATGACAGTCACCCAAGACGGATGACACCTATTGTTCAGATTAAAAGCCATGAAAGATAAGACTCCCTGCTACAAGATGTAACTGGTCTTAGAGGATCTTTCAGAAGCAACAAAAGCAGTGGCCTGCCAGATAAATCAGCTGAAGGCTATCTTGAGAAGCGCTCTTACTTGTAGATCAATTGGTTTCCCCCACTTTTGCATGTCGCTCATGCTGAAACTGAGCAATTTTGATTTTGATGAAACCACCCCCATGCTAAACATGTTTGAAAGGCAGTTTACAGGTTTAAACTAAATTGTTTATAAAACCTTAGTGAGGATTATCTTGCAAAAAATGAGGACTTCTGGAATAAGCTCTACAGCGTCAAATTCATTTTATATTCTGTTTAACATACATGTCAGTACATTCAAGGTGAGATAAATCTGCTCATTAAGAACCCCTACAGAATGTTTAGCTAAGTATAAAGCATGGTATGTCTTTGTTTTATGGTGTTTCTTTGGTTTCAGGGTGGGCTAGACTGTGTTCAGCCTAAGTACATTGTCTGAGATGAAACACATGCAATGTGCATTTGAATTTCCTAGTATGCAAACCGGCATTGTCAGACATTCTGGCAGGGGACTGGCTGATGTGGACCAACTGTGGGCTGCTCTAGCCTCAGGGCATAATTTACAGAAATCTGAAGCTACAGCAACTTACTTGAGAAGTGAAAGGAGCAAACAAATGAACAGCAGCAGTAATCAATGCAGGCTATCTGAACCTACTAAGTTTGCTTTATTTCAGCTATGGCCCACAAACTAGGAGTTGCATCTGGGGATGTAATGCTACAGATCTGAGACCAGTTACTGCAAAAGAGGCTGTTTCTGGTTTAGGTCTTGTCCTAAGAGGTGACAGGCCATGCTGCAGCTTGTTAAAGCTCATGTGGAGAATGTAGGCACATTTAACGAGCCTACACTCCAAACCCAATATTGATATGAAGACGGCAGGGAAACACGCCACTTTCAGTATCAGATACCTGCATCACAAGCAAATATCACATATTGCAATGAGAAATCAATCAAGGTCTGAGCTGAAAGAGAAAAGCTTCAGGCTACTGGTCGATTCTTTTTCTAGTGAGGGCTTTTGTCACCTACCAGGGAAGCATTTGCATGGGTCTCATAGAAGCTCAGTGCCATGTCCTTACTGTAGCTGTATTTGTACCCAGCCTTTAGCCTGCACCTGCTTGCATCCTCTCAGTAAGAATAGGCTGTGTGAAGATGCCAGACTGTGCCTGCATGCACTCAGAAGCAACACTTACTCTGGCCTTTTAATGTTTAAACAGCTGTGCTGGATTTGCAGAGGGTATCTGACAGTTGTTAAAAACTGATCCCTGAGTAAACTGCCCCAGTGCTGTTTACTCCAATTCAGCTATGATAATTTAAACCACCTGAAGAGCAGCCTAATCCTAAACTGGCAAATTCTCTGAGATCCTCGCTACTGACTTGAACAGGAGGCTCCTTGTGGCAATGGGAGTGCCATTTCCCAGTCACTAATGACTGAACCAGAGAATAATGATACAAACCAATTTAAAATTAATTAATTCAGAATGAAAATGTAACTGCTAACACTCGTCACAGGCTTGTGCTGATACAGGGCACTCATGTATGCTGACTTACAGAATGGATGTCGGTTACACACGATTAAAATGAACTGCTACACACTAACAGAGAAGAGGTATGGGGTTTAACCTTTCAGTTGTGGTCATACTGCTAGTTTATTTTTATCCCTGTTGCACAAGGTTTGAAGCACCTCAAGGAACATTCATTTGGAAACATGCTAGAGGGAAAGGAAACAATATAATGTACAGGACCACAAACACCTATGTTGTAGAAAAGTGTGTTTTCCTCTCAACTCCATCTGAACAAGGTTAGATGTAACCGCAACTACCCACTAATCTTTTTGTTGTTAGTGGACATCCGGCTTCAAACATGGCTCATCTGCTTTGCCTGGCTAAGTATGATGACTGCCCACTATCGATCAGTACCCTTTCTCTTGGTCCTGTCTATTGTTCTGCTATTAACTTACCAAATGACACACGCCTTAACATTCCTCTTTATGGCGTATCTGTTGTCTTGTTATTCTTCAAGATACTGCCTCCATTTCTTGACCTTGTCTTCAAAACACCTACAATAGAAAAGAGACACATAAAGATCACCTGATTCACCAGATTGAATTTTCTGTTAAATTAGTGACTTCCTAGAACTAATCCTTAGAACACGAGCACACCACAAATTGCTAGTCAAGTAAATGTTTCAGATGTGTATACAGTAAATCGATGGACTTTCTAAATGGTCAGCAAAATCAGGACCTTGGGGAATGTGGAAGAGCAATTTCTCACCTACTGATTCCTTATAAAACTCAGAAAAATGGTAATAACTTGTGATGACATTCAAAATTTTGGAGACAGTTTTACTTTGCTGTAAACCTACTTAATCCAGTCATTTTATACTCAAATTAATAAGCATAGTTCTAGTTTACAGGCAAGTGTAAGTGTCCATTTTAAAGAAGCTAAAACTGATGCAAAGTTTCTTGAGTTCATTAACTACAAACCATCACCTGATTCTGCTAGCAAAAGTTTCAGAGCATATGTAATGCAGCAGTGTATCTGTTTTAACCTTGGCTGGTTCAGGTAAATTCACATTTGTTAATGATGTATGACACGCTGACATCACTACGTTTATAAAAAGAACATGCAAATGCACAGTGACATTTTACACAGTGGTTCACATGAGACACTTGAAGTCCAATGCTGTGGTATGCCAAGTACTCTTAACTCTCACTGAGTTCAATGTCAGTTGAGAGTGCTTCGTGGTTCAGGTGCTCATGCCCTCAGTGGGGCTCTGCACAGTAAGGAATTACACCATTCATGTCTTGAGATGAGAGTAATTTCTCCTTTCTAGTACGTGCGTTTATAATTGCTGGATTAGTACAATTGGCTGATAATCACAGTAATACAGATGTAGTACTCTGTACTGAAGTGCTCTCTCTGAAAGTTAATAAAGCTCATTCAGTATCGCCTACAGTTTTACAACACTGTAATGGAATAATGTAATGAGTACAATGTGAGTATAGTACAAAAGCCAATGTAAAGTTAAAAATGGATCTAGGATAGTGTTGTTCTTGAATACGAGCAGTACAAGGTATCAATTACTTCGAGCTGGGTACAGGAGTTAATCTGTGAACTATACAGCCCAGCTCACATTCAGGTTCACTCCTGAATTTTTATTTCCTCCAAGATCTGCTTCCTACCCTTTTCTTCCAGCTGTTTTGTACGCACTCAACCTTGCTATTGCCATAAAGGTGATCATGCTTTTAGGTTTGTATCTTCCAGATCTACTGGAATTTGGTGGTAAAAATGGTTTTACAAACTTCCATGAGAATGTGATATAAGGACACAGCAGAAAACCAACTCTATTTAAAAATTTCAGCACAAATCCCAGGTCAGTTTGGAACTTTCAGGAATGTGTAGCCCTGTGACTTATGAGAATTGCCTCCTGCAGTAGTTGAACACGAATTGTATTATATTTTATTATTTTGGAATTCACCCATATCTTGTATGCCCATAATGACAAGTCTGTTGACATAAGACCACATTAATTGTATATTTAAGACCTCCAGCCCCCTTTTCCCCCTCTGCATGAATAAGACAAAGCCATATTTAAGGAGAAATTGGCTTTGTCTACCTGTAAATGAAGATCACCTGAAATGCAGTCTCATAAGAAGCTGAGGTAATCAGTAATGCCAAATCCTCATTACAGCAGTGGCATTTTCACCAACTGTATGGTCGATTTTGCAGTTAAGAACACACAAAGAATTATTCCTTTCTTGTGTAACAATACTTTAATATTAATAAAAAGTGGTTTTATAGTTCAAGATTACAAATAAAAAATATTTCATCTTGACCCTTTTGCTATTTTCCCTCAAATAGTCTTGAAATTTTAGCTAGGAAGTGTTAAAACACGAGGTGGATGGATGCTTGCTCTGCTAAAACCTGAAGGACTCCCTCCCCACTTTGCCATCACCAGATGTTTTGGAATGGAAGGTTTTGCTCCAAGTTACCCTGAAGAGCATTCTGTGTCTCTTGTGGCAGGTGAAACCACGGGGGCACTCACCACCACCAGATCCTTTCAAGCTGGACGTAGCTGGGAGTGTACTAAAAGGAACAAATGAAGCACCTCTCCAACTACCAGGCTGCATCAAGAAGGCACAACATAAACAATGGTAAAGTCAGTAAACAAAATTTTACTGTAATATTTCATAACACAGATACTGTATTTCTCTTTTAAGTGTAAAGCTACTGTCTTACACAAGAAAGATGGATAGACCCTTTTCCAAGACTAATATGGATACAATAAATATGGAGTTTTACATACTAGATCTGTACACAGAAACTTTGTCCCACAGCCATAAAAATTTACATTTAACAGTGCAACATATAATTTAATCCTTTATTTATCTGACATAGGATGTTTACTTACTGAACACAAGCAACTACCTGGTTTTAATATACATATTTTATATATATATATATATAATATATATATATTCAACAATCTGTACAGGTTTCTAAACATAAAACTCCAAAAAGGCACAATCGTCTATACAACATGTACAAAAATGGCTGGAGCTGACAAGAAACAACAATTATTGGTCAAGAGTTCATGATTGCACGAAGATTAGTAATGAGTTTGTGTCAGAAAAATGTGCTTTAAGGAAAGGAAGGTTTGCAAAGAAACCTGTAAGTGTTATTAAAAAAACCCAAAAATAAAAACACAACAAAAAACAAAAACTAGGTTGCTATCACAAGTCTATCCTCATCGTCACTGCTGCCATCGCTAAACTGCACCGTGTTTTGCCGCCGGGGCAAGGCGCCTGGCCTGTGTACCTGTCTGTCCGGGGACACAGTTCGGTGGACCGGGGACTTGGTTAGCGCATCGGGATTCGCCTTGGAGTGGGGCTCTGCCGGGGCAGCCCTCTTCAGCTGCAGGGATGGGACGTCGCGCTTTGGCTTGGCGGGATTTGTGAGGTCAGTCTTTTCAGGATCTGCTTTCCCTGCATCATCGGGTCGCTTGCTGTTGGTCAGCAGGGTGGGCTCGGGATGGCTCTTCCCACTGTACCGCTGGCCACCAGCTGCTGCCTGAGGAGAAGCATCCCTGCCAGCCTGTCCGACCTCAGACACAGGGAAGCTGACAGGAGCCGGCTCCAGCTGGGCCTCACAGGCTTTGCTGCCTGTGGCAGGCACCTCACAGGCTCCCTGCCCCTCGGCACCTACAGGGCTGACAGAGGGGATGAGGGTCGGCAGGGCGATGTTCAGTATCTGCAAGCCAGGAATGTGGGCCTGTGGGCTGGGGTTGCCCTGTGGGGCAGCACCAGCGGTCAAAACCTGGAGGCCCACAGCATTCAGGGTGATTCCCGAAGGGCACATTTGTGGGGCGATGTTTGTGTTAGCCAGGCCCAAGATGTTCACTGTCTCCATGCCCAGCGGGGGCAGAGGCTGCAGGCTGGGCGTGCCGAGACCCTGGATGCCTGGCAGGCTCACCTGACCGATGGGAATACACGGCACCACACTGTTCACCTCGGCAACTCCCATGGGATTAGCAGTGGCACTGGTGGCCGCGCCACCCGTCTCACCGAGGGCGCTGGTAGTTCTGTGAATCACACTAACAGCAGGGATAGTGAGCTGAACCGGCCCTGCCTGGATGGGAACAAAGGTGGAGTAGGTGGCCAGGCCGGCAGGGACCACCTGAATCCCCCCAACCGGTACTGTGCCACAGGGAGCCTTGGCTTGCTGCTGCGAGTGCAGGGGGAGGTGGCTGAAGAGGTGAGTCTGGGGAGCCCTCTGCTCGGCAGCGGGCTGCAGGCACCCGGCCAACTTCTCCTCTGGGATTTCAGCGTAGGGCAACGGTGCTGTTTGCATGCTGTGGTCCGCTGGCGAGGAGGGAGAGCTGATGGAGGGCGTGCTCTGGGAGAGAACAACACAGGCACATTAGTGAGGTGGCCACTGCTATCCTCGAGTGAAATGAAAACACAAGGTAGCTGCCGAGTGCTTCCCACACTCCCTTGTAAGAAAAAACAACAACAAACTGGTTCACAATATATACTGCCCAGCTTAAACAATAAACTAATTTCCTTCCTTTCTTTTTCCAACTCCTTCCTCACCCACTAATTGAATTTTCCTCTCCTAATTAGGAGAGGTTAATTTCTCTTGAACACTAGTACTTGAAAACATTGCTGCATATCCTTTGTACGTGTTTTTTTAAGGAGTGAGGCGGCTTTGGAGAAGTGTTTTCTGTGGAAATCACCTCAGGCGAGAAGCATAAAATGGCATTTCTGATGCACTGGGTTCCTCTCCTGGAGGCATTAGTGCCTCCAGCAAGCAGAGGCAGGATCATGGCACATCTGTCTGTAGGTTCTTCTGACATGGAAGATGGGCAATATACAATGACAAGAGACTGATGACAACTACAGTGCCTGCAGAGGCATAAGTGACAGGCTGATACTGGAGTGAGATGTGGGACCCACATCCCACTGCTGCCTCAGCTCACCATGGCTTGATGCACACACCTGGACTAACAATCTTATTTATATACTCCCTTTTCTTCTCATATAGTCTATATTAATGACCAAGGCTGGCAGCTCCCTTCCTAAAAGCTCCTAAACCAAGAAGTCTTAAATTGTGATTGCAGTCTCTCAGTATCTTAGTTTTAGGCATATTCACAACACATAGTGATCCGATCTTACTTATTTATATAGTCCTAAATGCTAATTCTGTGATTTTGACCAAACTCTCAAGAAATTTCTAGAGCAGGCAGGCAAAAAAAAACAAACCCTGAAACATGAACAGTAATGCCTTTGAAAACTGCTGGTATGAAATATATGGGTTAAAGTAGAATATGATTTACTGACTATGCAGTGCCAACCAGTCTAAATGGGAAGATGGGTGTGAGAAGGAAGCCAACATCTTTCTTAGAATTAAGTCCTGTCTGACACCTCACAAGAAATCCTGATAAACTGGTATGGATGCTTTTGAAGGAACATACAACAGCCTTCCTGAGCTGTCTCAACTCTTGTCTTGATTGCAAGAAGTGGGATCCACAACCATTCACAATAGAAACAGACTGCAGACGAGCCATCAGACACACGGCTGCCGCTTCTTTTGGTCTGGGAAAGTAGGTGGTAGTCTGGAGAGGAATTACTGCCTTTTATTACTTAGAAGCCTTTTTTTTTTTCCCTTAATATCTTGATGTAGACAATTATTAGAGCTATATTGATGAAGGCCTTTCAACATTGTTAATTGTGTGAATATTTTCTTGAGGCTTCAGTGGTTCTGTTCGATGAGGGAGCATACTCAGTCAAATGTTTTTCTGGTATCTATTGGCAACAACTGAAACCTCAAATCCAAATATTAAGATCCTACCCCTTTTCTGGCAGGTATATACCGTGATCAGAGACCATTGATTTTATTCTCTGCCATACTACAAAACTGCTCCAATTTACATTTGCAACACGGACTCACGGTTCTAAGAGGAAGAATGAACCAGTGCCAAACAACGACATAAGCAATCATTTTTACTGTTTCTTCTTGTCAACAGTTCACTATCTCAAATGTTGTAAGAAAGAAATCCAATAATACAGGTTTTTAAGGAAGAAAGAAGCCAGTAAGTATTTAAACCAGAATGAATATTTTTCTTACTGTTTATGCTTTTGAAAATTTCCTGCTGCTTAGTTTTCTATAACTGCACGCATATACTATTTGTAAATACTGCATTCATCACAGATAAGGCAGTAATTTCTTCTTTATTTAAACTACATTTAAACTACACTTTGCATTACATTTATCTGAGCATTACTCTGTATAGCTCTAGTATTTTCATGTTCTGCAGTAAGAAATCTTTATTCTTTATCCTTAGGGTCAGTCAGGTATGTGACTTACAGCCCACTAAAATAGTGCATTAAAATACTGTCAAAGGCTTAACACCTGCCAGTTTTCCCCTGTGATTTCCTCAGCAGAGCCTTAAAGACAATAGTCACCAAAATTACTGAATGCCCCTGCAGCCTTGCATAGAGTCTGACTTCATCCTTCCGCACACTGCTCTGAAGAGCTGTGTGTCTATAATAGGCACGGGCAAAATTGATCTTTTTCTGATTAAAATATTCTTTCAGCTTGGATAAAAACAGAGCTCAGGTGTCACTTCTGAGCTTGTCTCTCCTTTTGCTATTGTGCAAGGACAATCTTGAACATCTGGTGCTCCTACTTCTGCTACTAAGTATATTTGAGGGAGAGATAAACAACTGCACAATTTTTTTATGGTGATAAAGCAAAACCCCTTGGGACTAAACTAATTTCCCTTGGGAATTACCTATGATTCTATCTTTATATTTCAGGAATGACTTCTGAATTCTACCACTTTACTCTGAAAACTTCACCACTGTATGTTCATTCCAAGTATCTATTATAGCCCTTATTTGTAAGGCAATCTACCAAATTTCAGCTGAAATGACTGT